AAAGATTCGAAGAAATGATAACAAGAATGGATAACGTAGAGAGGAATATGAAAGAATTAAAGGAGCTGAAAAACACAATACGAGAACTTCACGAAGTATGCACAAGTTTCAACAGCCGAATTGACCAAGCAGAAGAAAGAATATCAGAAGTCGAAGATCAACTCAATGAAATAAAAAGAGAAACCAAGATCAGAGAAAAAAGTGCAAAAAGAATGAACAAACTCTCCAAGAAATGTGGGATTATGTGAAGAAACCTAACCTACGTTTGATAGGTTTGCCAGAATGTGACGAAGAGAATGAATCCAAGCTGGAAAATACTCTTCAGGACATTATCCAGGAAAATTTCCCCCACCTAGCAAGACAGGCCAACACTCAATTGCAGGAAATACAGAGAACACCACAAAGATATTCCACAAGAAGAGCAACCCCAAGGCACATAATCATCAGATTCAACAAGGTTGAAATAAAGGAGAAATACTAAGGGCAGCCAGAGAGAAAGGTTGGGTCACTTACAAAGGGAAGCCCATCAGACTCACAGCAGATCTCTCGGCAGAAACACTACAAGCCAGAAGACAGTGGGGACCAATATTCAACATCCTTAAAGAAAAGAACTTTCAGTCCAGAATTATATATCCAGCCAAATTGAGCTTCATAAGTGAAGGAAAAATAAAATCCTTTGCGAACAAGGAAGTACTCAGAGATTTTGTCACCACCAGGCCTGCTTTACAAGAGCTCCTGAAAGAGGCACTACACATAGAAAGGAACAACCAGTACCAGCCATTCCAAAAACATACCAAATGTTAAAGAGCATCAACAAAATGAAGAATCTGCATCAACTAAGGGGCAAAACAGCCAGCTAGCATCAAAATGGCAGTATCAAATTCATACATAACAATATTAACCCTAAATGTAAATGGACTAAATGCACCAATCAAAAGACACAGACTGCCAAATTGGATAAAAATCCAAAACCCATCAGTGTGCTGTATCCAGGAAACCCATCTCACAGGCAAGGATACACAAAGGCTCAAAATAAAGGGATGGAGGAAGATTGACCAAGCAAATGGAGAGCAAAAAAAAATAGGAGTTGCAATTCTCATCTCTGATAAAATAGACTTTAAAGCAACAAAGATCAAAAGAGACAAAGAAGGCCATTACATAATGGTAAAAGGATTGATACAACAAGAAGAGCTAACAATCCTAAACATATATGGACCCAATACAGGAGCACCCAGATACATAAGGCAAGTTCTTAATGACTTACAAAGAGACTTAGACTCCCACACAATAATAGTGGGAGACTTTAACACTCCACTGTCAATATTAGACAGATCAACCAGACAGAAAATCAACAGGGATATCCAGGGCTTGAACTCAGACCTGGAGCAAGCAAACCTGGTGGACATTTACAGAACTCTCCACCCCAAATCCACAGAATACACATTCTTCTCAGCACCACATCACACCTACTCTAAAATTGACCACATAATTGGAAGTAAAGCACTGCTCAACAAATGCAAAACAACTGACATCATAACAAACAGTCTCTCAGACCATAGTGCAATCAAGTTAGAACTCAGAATTCAGAAACCAACCCAGAACCGCACAGCTTCATGGAAACTGAACAACTGGCTCTTGAATGTTGACTGGATAAACAATGAAATGAAGGCAGAAATAAAGAAGTTCTTCGAAACCAATGAGAACGAAGACACAACATGCCAGAATCTCTGGGACACATTTAAAGCAGTCTCTAGAGGAAAATATATAGCAATTAGTGCCCATATGAGGAGAATGGAGACATTCAAAATTGACACCCTATCGTCAAAATTGAAAGAGCTAGAGGAGCAAGATCAAAAAAAACTCAAAACCTAGCAGAAGACAAGAAATAACTAAGATCAGAGCTGAACTGAAGGAGATAGAGACACGAAAAACCCTTCAAAAAATCAACAAATCCAGGAGCTGGTTTTTTGAAAAGATCAACAAAATAGACAGACCACTAGCCAGATTGATTAAAAATAGAAGAGAGAACAACCAAATAGATGCAATAAAAAATGATAAAGGGGAAATCACCACAGATTCCACAGAAATTCAAACCATCATCAGAGAATATTACAAACAACTCTATGCACATAAACTAGTAAACCTGAAAGAAATGGATAAATTCGTGGACTCCTGTGTCCTCCCAAGCCTAAACCAGGAGGAAGCTGAAACTATGAATAGACCAATAACAAGGTCAGAAGTCGAGGCAGCAATTAAGAGCCTACCACACAAAAAAAGCCCAGGTCCAGACGGGTTCACAGCCGAATTCTACCAGACACACAAAGAGGAGCTGGTACCATTCCTTCTGAAACTATTCCAAATAATCCAAAAAGAGGGAATCCTTCCCAAATCATTTTATGAGACCAACATCATCCTGATACCAAAACCCGGCAGAGACCCAACAAGAAAAGAAAACTTCAGGCCAATATCCATGATGAACATAGATGCAAAAATCTTCAATAAAATATTGGCAAGCCGATTGCAACAGCAAATCAAAAAACTTATTCATCATGATCAAGTAGGATTCATCCCGGGGATGCAAGGCTGGTTCAACATACACAAGTCTATAAACGTAATTCACCACATAAACAGAACCAAAAACAAAAACCACATGATTATCTCAATTGATGCAGAGAAGGCATTTGACAACATTCAACAGCCCTTTATGCTAAAAACCCTCAATAAACTTGGTATCGATGGAACGTCTCTCAAAGTAATAAAAGCTATTTATGACAAACCAACAGCCAATATCATACTGAATGGGCAAAAACTGGAAGCATTCCCTTTTAAATCTGGCACTAGACAAGGATGCCCTCTTTCACCCCTCCTATTCAACATAGTACTAGAAGTTCTAGCCAGAGCAATCAGGCAAGAAAAAGAAATAAAGGGTATTCAAATAGGAAAGGTGGAAGCCAAATTGTCTCTGTTTGCAGACGACATGATAGTATACCTAGAAGACCCCGTCGCCTCAGCCCAAAAACTCTTGAAACTGATAAGCAACTTCAGCAAAGTCTCAGGATATAAAATCAATGTGCAAAAACCACAAGCATTCCTCTACACCAATAACAGACTTAAAGCCAAATCAACAACGAACTGCCATTCACAATTGCTACAAAAAGAATAAAATACCTAGGAATACAACTCGCAAGGAACATAAGGGACCTCTTCACGGAAAACTACAAACCACTACTCAACAAAATAAGAGAGGACACAAACAGATGGAGAAACATTCCATGTTCATGGTTACGAAGAATTAATATCGTGAAAATGGCTATACTGCCCAAAGTAATTTACAGAATCAACGCTATCCCCACCAAGCTACTACTCACTTTCTTCACAGAACTGGAAAAAACCACCATGAACTTTATATGGAACCAAAAGAGAGTCCACATAGCCAAGTCAATTCTAAGCAAAAAGAACATAGCGGGGGGCATCACACTACCGGATTTCAAACTAAACTACAAGGCTACAGTAATCAAAACAGCATGGTACTGGTAACAAAACAGAGGCATCAGAGGTAACACAACCTATCTACAACCATACAATCTTTGATAAACCTGACAAAAGGAATGGGGAAAGGATTCCCTGTTTAACAAATGGTCTTGGGAAAACTGGCTAGCCATGTGCATAAAGCAGAAACTGGACCCCTTCTTGACACCTTACACTAAAATTAACTCCAGAATGGATTAAAGACTTAAACATAAGACCTGGCACCATAAAAACCCTAGAAGGAAATCTAGGCAAAACCATCCAGGACATAGGAGTAGGCAAGGACTTCATGAACAAAACACCAAAAGCATTGGCAACAAAAGCCAAAATAGACAAATGGGACCTAATGAAACTCCACAGCTTCTGCACAGCAACAGAAACAGTCACTAGAGTGAATCGGCAGCCAACAGAATGGGAAAAAATTTTTGCAGTTTACCCGTCTGACAAAGGGCTAATATCCAGAATTTACAAAGAACTCAAACAGATTTACAGGAAAGAAACAAACAAGCCCATTCAAAAGTGGGCAAAGGATATGAACAGACACTTTACAAAAGAAGACATATATGAGGCCAACAATCATATGAAAAAATGCTCATCATCACTGTTCATCAGAGAGATGCAAATCAAAACCACATTGAGATACCATCTCACGCCAGTTAGCATGGCGATCATTAAAAAATCTGGAGACAACAGATGCTGGAGAGGATGTGGAGAAAAAGGAACACTTTTACACTGTTGGTGGGAGTGTAAATTAGTTCAACCATTGTGGAAGACAGTATGGCGATTCCTCAAGGCCTTGGAAATAGAAATTCCATTTGACCCAGCAATCCCATTACTGGGTATATATCCAAAGGACTATAAATCATTCTACTATAAGGACACATGCACACGAATGTTCATTGCAGCACTGTTTACAATAGCAAAGACCTGGAATCAACCCAAATGCCCATTGATGATAGACTGGATTGGAAAAATGTGGCACATATACACCATGGAATATTATGCAGCAATCAGAAATGATGAGTTTGTGTCGTTTGTAGGGACATGGATGAATCTGGAGAACATCATTCTCAGCAAACTGACACAAGAACAGAAAATGAAATACCGCATATTCTCACTCATAGGCGGGTGATGAAAAATGAGAACACATGGACACAGGGAGGGGAGTACTAAACACTGGGGTCTATTGGGGGAAAAAGGGGGGGACCAGCGGGAGGGGGAGCTGGGGAGGGATAGCCTGGGGAGAAATACCAAATGTGGGTGAAGGGGAGAAAGGAAGCAAAACACACTGCCATGTTGCATGTGTGTACCTATGCAACTGTCTTGCATGTTCTGCACATGTACCCCCAAACCTAAAATGCAATAAAAAATTTTTTTAAAAAAGTAAAATTTAAGCATGAGGTAGTTTTAGTTGTTTAACTTTGTAAATTTCTATGTGTTTGAAACTTTTAGTTAAACTTTTATAATTTCAGTGTGTTTGAAGAAACTGACACAGATTTACAAGAGCTGCAGGCATCGATGGAACAGTTACTTAGGGAACAGCCTGGTGAAGAATACAGTGAAGAAGAAGAGTCAGTCTTAAAGAACAGTGATGTGGAGCCAACTGCAAATGGGACAGATGTGGCAGATGAAGATGACAACCCCAGCAGTGAAAGTGCCCTGAACGAAGAATGGCACTCAGGTAGGTGTATAATTGGAGTTTTGGACCTTTTTATTTTATAGTTTACAAATATTTCAAGTAGAGTATATTTTTCTAATCTCTGCTATGAACCATCTTCAACTTTAAATACAACTGAAGCATGCCTCTGGGTCTCTCTCCTTTTTCATTCTCTTTCTTTTCATACAAATGTATGATTTTCCATTTCTTTCCCATTAAATTTTGTATTTCCTATTATGGCAATGCTTTTTTGAAGCATTTTAATTCTAATCTCCATTTCTTGACCAATTTTTCTAGTAATAAAGATAATAACGCTGTTTTCTTAGCATTCCATATTTTAGAAAGAGCTTCTACATGTATTGGTTAATCAGCAGGTTTTACACTGAAAGCAGTTTTTAAAGTATGAAAAACTCTTTTCGTAAACTTGGAAACTTCCTCTTTTATAGCATTACTCCCAAGATGCACAGAAAGTGTGTCTATTTCAATAACTGTATTAATTTAGGAAGAAAAGCTAATGTGAAAAGATTAAGTAATTTTTTTTCAAAGTGTCTTGAGCATGTACATTACAAAACATACTGGCCATTTATAATTTCTAGGTGCTTTGCTAACATGTAACAATGTATGTCTTAGGTTGTCTACCTTCCGCAGGCTTTTCCATGGTATGGCCTGCATTTATTACCAACTTTTGGAAATAGTACTTACAGTTAGCTGCTTCAAAGAAGAACATGGAGGAGTGCTTTTTCCTTTTTTTATTCATTTAAATAACATCTCTAGGAATATTTTTATTCTAAGCTGATTTATTTTTTATGTATATAAAGGAAAAGTACTATTCTTGTTTAGACAGATTTAGACATACTGCCATATAAAGGACAAATATTAAAATGACAAAAACTGTTTATATTGAAAGTAGAAGTAGTCTACTTCAGTGACATTATTCATCCGTCATAGAATTTTAGTCTACTAGGGTAAGAATTATTTTATTCAGTCTTATTTTTTAATCAAAATACCTATTTTAATTTTGTTTTTTAGATAACAGTGATGGTGAAACTACTAGTGAATGTGAATACGATAGTGTCTTTAACCATTTAGAGGAACTGAGACTTCATCTGGAGCAGGAAATAGGCTTTGAAAAATTCTTTGAGGTTTATGAGAAAATAAAGGTAGGTAAAAAGTTAATTAAAACACTTAAAATATGCTCTGAAGATTAGAGAAATGTTGATGATCTTTATTGGTCATTAAATTTATTATAAACAAAAAGTAAAGTCTACAATTAGAGAAAGTTATTCAAATATTAATTTATATTTGGGAATTTGGTATAGGCTGTTCATGAAGATGAAGATGAAAATATTGAAATTTGTTCAAAAATAGTTCAAAATATTTTGGGAAATGAACATCAGCATCTTTATGCCAAGATTCTTCATTTAGTCATGGCAGATGGAGCCTACCAAGAAGGTAAGATTTCCTCACATGTCTGTATAATTTTCAATAAATGTGAGAAAACAAGATGACACATGTATATGAATCAGCTTAAATCACATCCATTTTGTGGAATCTGCATGGGGACTATATTACTTTTAAGCAATTATAAAATCAACTTCGTCATAAAGTTTCACTGGCTTAAGTCCTTTAAGTCCATATTTTTAATTTAATTTATAACTAACATTTGAATAAGATTTTTAAAAATCTTACTAGACAGGTTTTTGGACAGCTGTAGCAATTAGAATAATCCTAGCTGGGTGTAGTGGCTCATACTTGTGATTCCAGCTACCTGGGAGGCTTAAGTGGGAGGATCGCTTGAGGCCAGGAGTTTGAGACCAGCCTGGACAACATTGAAATCCTATCTCTATGCACAAAAAATTTTTTAATTAGCTAGGCATAGTGTGGTGGGCACCTGTAGTCCCGGCTACTCAGGAGACTGAGGCTGGAGGATTGCTTGAGCCCAGGAGTTTGAAGCTGCAGTGAGCTGTGATTTTGCTACTGCACTCAGCCTTGGCAACAGAGCCAGACCCTGTCTCTAAAATGAGTAAGATTATAAATTAAAATAATTCTTTGTTTTGTTTCTTATTTTGTTTTTTGAAACAGAGTCTTGTTGCCCAGGCTGGAGTGCAGTGGTGCCATCTCGGCTCACTGCAACCTCCACCCCCAGGGCACAAGCAATTCTCCTGTCTTAGTCTCCCAAGAAACTGAGATTATAAGCATGTGCCATGACATCTAGCTAATTTTTGTATTCTTAGTAGAGACAGGGTTTCACCATGTGGGGCAGGCTGATCTTAAACTCTTGACCTCAGTGATCTTCCTGTCTCCGCCTCCCAAAGTGCTAGGATTACAGGTGTGAGCCACTGCGCCTGGCCCTAGAATAATTCTTATTAAGGATGTAGTATTAAACTGTGTGTGTGTGTGTGTGTGTGTGTGTGTGTGTGTGTATGTGATGGAGTCTTGCTCTGTTGTCCAGGCTGGAGTGCAGTGGCGCAATCTCAGCTCATTGCAACCTCTGCTGCCTGGGTTCAAGTGATTCTCCTGTCTCAGCCTCCTGAGTAGTTGGGCCTACAGGTGCCACCACACCTGCCTAATTTTTGTACTTTTAGTAGAGGTGGGGTCTCACTATGTTGGCCAGGCTGGCCTCAAACGATTAGCCCTCCTTGGCCTCCCAAAGTGCTGGAATTACAGGCATGAGCCACTGCACCTGGCAAAACTTTTAAACACAAAAAGCAAAATTTATTTCTAGATTATTTGCCCAAACATTAATCTTATGGTTTAATTCATAGACTAAAATTGAGGGTTTTAAATGTGGACCCTTAATTTTAGCAATAAAAATGTTTATAAAATGTATTTATATGCCATACAAAATTTGTTTGCATATTCATACAAAAATACTAAGATTGCATTTAAATATATATATAGTATAAAAAAAATTTTTTTTAAGTTTGAATGTCAGATCGATAAGGCGTAATTTTTTTTTTAATTTTTTTTAATTATACTTTAAGTTCTGGGATACATGTGCAGAATGTGCAGGTTTGTTACATAGATATACACGTGCCATGGTGGTTTGCTGCATCCATCACCCCATCATCTGCATTAGGTATTTCTCCTAATGCTATCCCTCCCCGAGCCCCCCCACACCCCTGCTATCCCTCCCATAGCCCCCTCACCCCTGCAGCAGGCCCCAATGTGTGACGTTCCCATCCCTGTGACCAGGTATTCTCATTGTTCAACACCCATTTATGAATGAGAACATGCAGTGTTTGATTTTCTGTTCTTGTGTCAGTTTGCTGAGAATGATGGTTTTCAGCTTCACCCATGTCCTTGCAAAGGACATGAACTCATCCTTTTTTATGACTGCATAGTATTCCATGGTGTATATGTGCCACATTTTCTTTATCCAGTTTATCACTGATGGACATTCGGGTTGGTTCCAAGTCTTTGCCATTGTGAACAGTGCCGAAATAAACAGAGATGTGCATGTGTCTTTATAACAGAATGATTTATAATCCTTTGGGTACATACCTAGTAATGGGATTGCTGGGTCAAATGGTATTTCTATTTCTAGATCCTTGAGGAATCACCACACTGCCTTCCACAATGGTTGAACTAATTTACACTCCTACCAACAGTGCAGAAGCATTCCTATTTCTCCACATTCTATCCAACATCTGTTGTCTTCCGATTTTTTAATGCTCACCATTCTAACTGGCATGAGATGGTATCTCATTGGGGTTTTGACTTGCATTTCTCTAATGACCAGTGATGATGAGCTTTGTTCATATGTTTGTTGACTACATAAATGTCTTCTTTTGAAAAGTGTCTGTTCAGATCCTTCACCCACTTTTTGATGGGGTTGTTTTCTTGTAAATTTGTTTAAGTTCTTTGTAGATTCTGGGTATTAGAATACCCTTTGTCAGATGGGTAAGATTACGAAAATTTTTCCCCATTCTGTTGGTTGCCAGTTCACTCTAATGATAGTTTCTTTTGCTGTATGGAAGCCTTTTAGTTTAATCAGATCCCATTTGTTTATTTTGGCTTTTGTTGCCATTGCTTTTGGTGTTTTAGTCATAAAGTCTTTGTCTGTGCCTATGTCCTGCATGCTATTGCCTACGTTTTTCTTCTGGGGTTTTTTTCATTTAAATCTTTAATCCATCTCGAGTTAATTTTTGTATAAAGTGTAAGGAAGGGGTCCAGTTTGAGTTTTTAAAAAAGGTTTGGGGAAAGCAACATATTGGACAAATGAGCACAAGCAGTATAATATGCCCAGGAATGAAGAATACAAACTTCATGTTCAAAAGGTCTCCACTTTTCTAAAAACAGGAAACAAATTTGGTGCTGGTCTTTTTCACGAAGCAGAAAACCTAATTAATTACATGAGTCATAGTATTCATTCAACAAAACATTTTAGTTGCTCAGAGGACAGCTATTTTGGGTATTGAAACTAAAGGAACAATTTTCCCATGATCTTTAAAAAGAGGGCACCATCACACAGTGTTCCTCAAACTTGAATGACATATGGATCCCTTTAAGGGGCAAAAAATATTTTTTCCAGGCACAAGAATCCAAGGGCCTATAAACACTAGTAAAAAAAACTCTAGTCTTAGTCATAGAAAATTTCTGTCAGTTGTGAATTATTACTGTAAAACAGATGTGTTTTTCTAAATGTTAAAAAATTATTTTATCAAAATGAAAATATAAAATGTAAACATTTTTTGGTACTTGTGGATTTCTTATTTCATTGAGATCTTGGACTTCATTTTACAAAACAGTGCTGTAGTGGAATGGAAAGTATCCTCAGTAATTTTTACAATATTTAGATTTCATGAGGCTGTTTCTCATGTGTCATGCTGTAAGTTAATGGCACGAGGCCAGAGGATGATTCCATTTAAGTAAATCTGTGGAGTGTAGCAAACTAATTCTATTTATATTCAGACTATTCAACCTCCATAAGTATTGTTTCAATAGAGCTTTTCATAAGTAATAGCCGCAGTATTCTTGGGGTTCAGTTTTGTTCCACAAGTATCTAGAGAGCTTTTAGTTTGCTTTGCCCCTTAAGTGAAGAACTGTAACAGTCAACTGATTCACAAGGTAGACTTGACATCCTCTTTTGACAACTGAGTGGCTTCAAAAGGATACGCCTACGCAGAAAGCCATTTCCCCTGCAAAGGACCGAGAATTAGGCTGGGTTAATACACCCCTCAAGAAGCAATATTAGATTTTCTCTAGGACACAAATGAAAGGGAAAAGAGTACCCAGAGTTCTGTATCATAAAGCCTGACAGTAATTCCTTTCACCTAGAAAAAATGTAAAGCAATTAAAGGCAAATGCCTACCCTGGCAGTCTTTTCTAAAACTCTTAGTACATACCATTACAGCAGGTGTAGCTTAAAAAAAAATTTAGTACAGCCCATAAAATATTATAACTTACTACTATATCTACTAAAGAAACTAGTTATAGAACATATATTGAATTGTCTGGATAACTTGCTGTTTTTTATTGTTACTCATGAGCATTAAATGAAATAATGAGTTGGATTTCATATTCATTGATTCAGAGTAACTGTTTTGCAGTCCTTCTTATTGGAAGTCGTTAGAGCCCATATATAGCTGTCCTTTTTGATTTGGGTTTTTTGTTGTTTTGTTTTGAGACAGGGCGTGGCTCTGTTGCCTAGGTTGGAGTGCAGTGGCATGATCTCAGCTACTGCAACCTCCTCCTCCCAGGCTCAAGCAGTCCTCCCACTTCAGCCTCCTGAGTGATTGAGCTGCCATGCCTAATTCATTTTTGTATTTTTTGTGGGTTTTTTTTTTTTGGTTGAGGTGGCATTTCGCCACGTTGACTGGGCTGAAGCAGTCTGCCCACAGCAGCCTCCCAGAGTGCTAGGATTCCAGGTATGACCCACACACCCAGCCTAGCTGTCTTACAGACAGTTGTCCAGATAGCTATCTTTTAGGCCACATCTAGGAGATAAAACCATGTCATCTGCATATGGTACTTACACACTTTTATTCTCTGGTTGGGGAAAGGGGAGAGTAAAGAAGGGAGACAGGAGGCAAAATTTTATCTAGTGCACCGGAAAGTGACATCAAGTCATTAAGGTACAAGTGAAAAAGAAGACTGTCAAAAACACATTTCTGTTTTATTTCCTTGGAAATTATATGAGTCCTGAAAAGACAGCCTCCGCTATTTAACTCTCCTGATACTGTTATGGTGCAGGTTTGGTAAGCAGCAGTAGCTTCGGCCGTTGATAATGCTGCTTTGTCCATAGCTAGATACCATCCAGAGTCAGAAATCAAATAGAGCTAATAAAATGTGTGAATGATTTGATAGTATTCCTAATAAATTCTTCGCCAAGGAGAGAAGGATTGTAGCAGCTGTGGCCAGTGGCAGCCTGGGAGAGGCTACCATGTTCTCACACAGAGTATTAGTGTTAGTGTCAGCAGCCCAACCTTATAGATTTTTTTTTTTTTTTTCTGAGACTATGTCTTGCTCTGTTGCCCAGGCTAGAGTGCAGTGGTGCGATCTCGGCTAACTGTAACTTCTGCCTCCTGGGTTCAAGCGATTTTTCCTGCCTCAGCTTCCTGAGTAGCTGGGATTACAGGCGCCTGCCACCATGCCTGGCTAATTTTTGTATTTTTGGTAGAGACAGGGTTTCATCATGTTGTCCAGGCTGGTCTCAAACTCCTGACCTCAGGTGATCCACCTGCCTTGGCCTCCCAAAGTGCTGGGATTACAGGTTCGAGCCACCACGCCTGGCCTTAGAGATTCTTAAGAAGGAGACACATACCTTCTCTCCATATTCATTTTAGATGGAATATTGGGCTGCATTTATGTCATGAAATTTTATACATCAGCTAAAATGAGTGAATTAAATGTTATCTATCTATGGTTAAGCCCCACAACCATGATGAGTTGAATAAGTAGAATATTCTACCAATTATTTAATGTTTATACATTTTATTTAGATGTGCATGTATGTTATAAAAACAAAAGCAAAAACCCGTGAGTGGGAAAAATACACCAATTTCAGAGTGCTGAAAATGCCCCTGGGGAAGAAGAGATGGCAGTAAGCTCGAGAAAGGGTGCTCTCTATCTGTAGTATGCTTTTACTTAAGTAATTCAAACCAGTAAGGCCAAAAGCTAGCTTTTGGTAATTCTGCATATTCTGGATATGTGTGTTCATTACTTTCCTGATTATTTGAAACATTTTGTAATTGTAAAAAATAAATAAATGATAGTACAGAGTGATAAGTGTTACCTTGGAAGCAATAAAATGTATGTAAGTAATAAAGTAATGATCCAACTACACTGAAAGAAATAATGACGAGAGGATGGGTCTTCCTGGGGAGAGGACAGCAAAACTGGATTCTGAAAGACAAATGGGAAGTTAGCACAAATAGGTACACATAGGTACGCATGGAAGGATGCAAAATGCAATAGGGCAGCTATCCTCAATTCATTGTTCCTAAAGCATAAATTATAGGGAAGGAAATTACAGTTGAGGAAGGTGGGAAATGAAATTTGGTAAGATGAGAAATAGTTAAAAGGCCAGATCATGAAGGGCTTTATAATCCACGTTAAGTGACGTGGATTCCATTTTGAGGCAATAGGGAGCTAGTGAATGTTTTAAGCAGTGCAGTGACTTGACCTGACCCTTTGATTTTAATGCAAACTCACTTGCTAGAATGTGGAAGATAGCGTTTGGATGTAAGATTAAGCTAAGAAATCTGTTTAATTCACTTGATTTAATCTTTAGAATTAAAAAAATAACAAAAATGTCTGTAAATAGTAATGGTTAATTTAATTATCCAATAAATAGCCATATCCATTAAATAGAATACTGTGCAGACATTGAAGTCAACAGAGAATAAATCCATGATTTATTCTTTTTTAACATTTTATTATCAGATTTTTATCATACTGAAAATTTGAAAGAACTTTACAAGTGATCGCCTGTGCACCCAGCACCTGGATTCTAACGTTAACATTTTCTAGTGTTGCTTTATCACTTATGTACCCACCTTTCCATTCACTAGAGTGTTTTAAGTGGAAAACCTGTTTCAAAACTGCATTTTAGTGTAATTTTAAAAGATATTTGTGCATAGGAAAGCATTGCGGGAGGATTTATATCAAGTTAACATTGATCATCTTTCATTTATATATGATTTTTGCTTCCCATTTTGTTCTTCATTGTATTGTCTGAATATTTTATAGTGAATGTGTGATACAATAATAAAAAGTATGTTTAAAACTACATTAAAGCTCTTCTCCTTTAGCATGAAAAGAATGGGTTGTTTTTAAGTAGATACAGCTTGATTTGAAATGAAGTGAATTTCTTCTTTTTTCTACAGATAATGATGAATAATCCTCAAAATGTTTTTTAATCCTCAACTATATGAAAGCATTTGAATTTGGCTCATCAGAATAACAAGCCTCAGTGGGAAATGCAGCAATTATTTGTTTTAAAAATCAGATTTAAGATGGGCATGCTTACTGCATGAAAAAGATGGAGGAACATGCCATTTTTCAATGAAGATTCTAACATTTTTTTATCTATTTTATTTTGTTCATTGAATTATATGGTTAAATCCTGTAAAATATATGCTTTATTAAATCATTCAACCAAAGCATAGGAAATGTTGACCCAAAAACTGACTTAATGGTTTTGAAGATTTACTATGCAACAGGGTAACTTTGACTTGCAGCAAATGTCTTTAGGTTGAAGGAATTCCCTACGTTATGAAAGACCTGCCTGTGGGTTTTCAATGAAGTCTTTAAGCATGACATTTTTTCTGTCTAATACTTGTTTTCATTTTGCCCAGCAGTTCTACATTAAATAACCTCATCAAGGGCTCTATTTAAATGTATACATTTTGAAGATGACATTTTTAGCCTTAAAGTTTATATTCTCAAGTCCTTTTACAACCAGTGTGTCTCCTGAACTAGCACATAGGCTGTAAAAACAGTCTTAGAAATCACTGAAAGATTTGATTATGAAAGAATAGCAAAATTATATTTCCTGATATGTAAAAAGTTGGTTTAATGTCTTTATTTCTCTCTAAGGCCCGGAACCAGGAATACTATATCTAAAAATTAGTCTGCGGATTAACGTTGACCTAGCATAGAGCTTGAACTTGCTCTTTTAGTTTTTAACTTCCTCTCATACATATGCTTCAGGGACAACATGATGTTAAAAAGGAGGAAGGAATTATTTCTATTTTGACACTGACAGTTTTGGCAACTAGGATCCTAGGGAGGGAAATGTTTGTCTCTTGAACTTCTTTCCATTGTGAGAGGATTTAGTTAGGTCATTAGGATGATGGTCACACAGCTTCAGTTGCAATATGCCAAGTATAACATGGTTTTGTTAGAGGTGTCTACAATCCAGATGTTTTTCATAATGAAAGCAAAATTTTGAACCTCTGAGTACAAAGCAGGCTGGTTGGCATGATATGTAATTTGGAAAATAAAGTCTTATCTTGCAGCACCAATCAGTATGTTAAATTTATTATGTATATTACTTCTAATGTCTGAAACTAGATACTTGATTTTTTATGTGTGTTTATTTTATGATATTGCTATTAAATTTTTATTATTTACCTGAAGTGTATCATTGATTGTCTTTTATTTATTAGCACTTTTCTCAGTAGAAGGCTTTTACATCAAGCTGAGAATAGTTTTTTTGGTTTCGTGCCTGTATTTCTTTCTTTTTCTTCTTAACGAAAGAGTTGAATTTTGCACTTTAATTCTCTACAATCCTGAAAGATGGTAATGATTTTGGGGAGGTTATGTGTTCATTCTTAAACTATTATAACTGTTAGAAAAATAAGGGTATAATATGGTAGAAAACAGTTGTTTCAGCCATATTTCAAAAGATGTCATATGCAGGAATAAGGGTGATAAACAGGATTTGTGCCATCTCCAATTGATTTCCAGTGTGTGGCTCTGGAGAGTTATTATGGAAGCATTATGCCAGTGAGGAAGAGGGCTATTATTGTTCAGTAATGTCTCTTATAAGTGTTGGAATTGACATGTGGAAGCGTCTGTAGATTCATAAATGTTAGCATTAGATGGGCTATTGGGATAACTTTGTCTTTTCTCATTTAACCTTCAAGGATATTGAGTTGAACATGATATTAAGTCACTTGTGTAAAGGGTCAGGGTCAGACCAGCTCCTAGGTCTTACAGTCTTATTACCTGGACATTCTTATCTCCCCTAGAGAATCAAAAAGAATAAATTTGATAGGAAATAGTACACCTGGCATTAATGCATTAAGAATTCTACAGGCCAGGCACAGTGGCTCACACCTGTAATCCCAGCACATTGGGAGACAGAGGTGGGAGGATCACTTGAAGCCAGGAGTACAAGACCAGCCTGGGCAACTAAGTGAGACCTCATCTCTACAAAAAATAAAATTAGCCGGACGCAGTGGTGTGCAGCTGTAGTCCCAGCTACTCAGGAGTCTGAAGCAGGAGAATTGCTTGAGCCCAGGAGTTCAAGGCTACAGTGAACTATGGTCACACCACTGCTCCCCTGCCTGGGCAACAGAGCAAGACTCCATCACTTTAAAAAATCGGCCAGGTGCAGTGGCTCACGCCTGAAATCCCAGCACTTTGGGAGGCTGAGGAGGATGGATCACCAGATCAAGAGATTGAGACCATCCTGGCCAACAGATTGAAACCCTGTCTCTACTAAAAATACAAAAAATTAGCTGGACGTGGTGGCACATGCCTGTAATCCCAGTTACTTGGGAGGCCGAGGCAGGAGAATCGCTTGAACCCAGGAGGCGGAGGTTGCAGTGAGCCAAGAACTCACCATTGCACTCCAGCCTGGGCAAAAAGAGTGAAAAAAACCTACAGATATTTCCTATTTATGGGAATAGCACACTATTCTACTTGCCGTTTTTAAACTTTGCACTAGATAGGTTAAAGTTGGGGGTTTTTTTTACCTGTAAACACATATTCTAATGCTTATCACTTTATTGACATGGAGCTTTGAAGAGGGTGTGTGTGTGTGTGTGTGTGTGTGTTAGTTATATGCCTAAAAACATGCACAAGAGATGAAAAGATGAACTGCAAGACCAAAGCCTTGAAGAAAGCCCCAACTCAGAGAAATGAGTAGAATATTGGAGGGGAAAAGCCACTTGTGACCTGAAAGCATGTCCACCACCTGACACTTTGATATGGTGGGCTCATGAGTCAAAAAGGATGAAAGGTCAAGGGCCACCCAAATTGGAGAATCCCATAGGAAACCCCAAAAGGTTACATCTTCACAATAAGGGAGAGCTAAAACTATAGTATATGCAAATACTATGCCATTTTATGTAATAGAATACTATGCAACCATGAAAAAAGAGTGAGATCATGTCCTTTGCAGGGACATGGACGGAGCTGGAAGCTATTATTCTCAGCAGACTAACACAGGAACTGAAAACCAAACACCACATGTTCTCATTAGTGGGAGTTGAACAATGAGAACACCTGGACACAGGAGGAGAACAACACACACTGGGGCCTGTCGGGGTGGGGGCAAGGGGAAGAATAACATTAGGACAAATACTTAATGCATGCAGGGCTTCAAACCTGTATGATGAGTTGGTAGGTGCAGCAAACCACCGTGGCACATGTATACCTATGTAACAAACATGCATGTTCTACACACATATCCTGGAACTTCAAAAAAATACAACAATTACAAATACAAATTTTAAAAGCAATACAGTGTAACAACTATGTACATAGCATTTACATTGTATTAGGTATTATGAGTAGTCTAGACATGATTTAAGGTATAGAGGAGGATATGCATAGGTTATTTGCAAATACTACACTATTTTATGTAAGGGACTTGAGCACCATGCAGTTTGGTATCCACAGGGTCCCGGAACCAATAACCCACAGATACTGATGGGCGATTGTACATTTTCTAAAGGCATGAACATGGAGAAGGAAGGCATGTCAGATTTGATAACACACATGTACATATACCAAGTAGAAGCTCTACAGATGTAAAATGCGTGTATAACAAATAGCAAATTTGCTACTCAGAAGAAAATTGTGAACCAAGCCCAATTGACATTTATAAAACATTTCATGTAAAACAAACATTATTTTCAGGTATACATGGTACATTTACTAAGATAAACCACAGTTTGGACATGAAAAATCTATCAGGATATTTTAAATGATTCAAATCAAACAGTGTTTTCTGATCTCAGTGGAATTAAATCATTTTTAAAGAGATTTCTGGAAAGGCTTTACATATCTTGAAACTAAACACGTTTCTAAATAACTCATGGATTGAATGAGAAATCATAGCCAAAATTAGAAAATATTTTGAATTGATTGAAAATTTAAATGTGACATATCTAAATTTGTAGAATGTGTCTAAAACAGAGCTTAGGAGTGAAATTTATAGCATTAGACACATTGTAAAAGAAGCAATTCAATAACTTAAACTTCTATACCTTAAACCAGAAGAAAAGCAAACAACTTAAATCCAAAATAGGCCGAAAAAAAGGAAATGGTTTCTTTAAAAAAGCACAGAAACCAAAGAAATGGAAACAGAAAATCAGAGAAGCCAAAAGCTAATTATTAAGAACACTAATAAAATTGATAAATCTCTGGACTGCAAAATGCTTAATACATAAGAATATCAGAAATGAGAGAGGGCAAGTGACATTTCTAGAAGACATTAAATAGATAATATTGTGAATTATTTATGCCAATATATTTGACAATTTAGTAAAAATGGTGAAATTTCTTGAAACCTGCCTATATTAGCTTGGGCTGCCATAACAAAATACCATAGACTGGGTGGCATAAGTAATAGCAGTCTATTTTCTCATAGTCCTAGAGGCTGAAAGTCCAAGATCACAGTTCTGGCTGAGTGGGTTTCTGGTGAGGGCTCCCTTCCCAGCTAGATAGTCGTCCTCTCACTACATTCTCATGGCCTTTCCCCAGTGGTGCATTGGGAAGGTGGGGATGCTCTGTGGTGTCTTTTCTTATAAGGACACCAATCCTGGAGGATCAGGGCCCCACACTTATGATCTTATTCAACTTTCATGGAGGCCTCATCTCCAGATACAGCTACATTGGGGGTTAGGACTTCAACATGAATTTTGAAGAGTCACAAACATTCAGTCCATAACACTACCAGAGTTCCTCCAAGAAAGACACGAAATCTGTAGAGCCCTATATCTAATTATAGAATTCAATTTTAGTTTAAAACCTTCCCGTAAAGTTTAGGCCCAGATGGCTTCAATAATTAATTCTCCCAAACATTTCTTGAAGAAAGTACCAATTCTACACAAGCTGTTCCAAAACAGAGGACTTCAGGGAACATTTTCCCACTTGTTCTGAGAGTGCAACATTGCCTGTTCCCAAAGCCAAAAAAAGAGGGGTTGGTGGAATTCCAGGAAAAGAGCACTACAGCCCCATATACCTCATGGACATTGATGAAAAAAATTTTCAGGCAGCCACAGTCATGTCTATAATCCCAGCACTTTGGGAGGCCGAGGTGGGAGGATCATGTGAGCCCAGAAGTTCAAGACCAGCCTGGGCAACACAGGGAGACCCTAGCTCTACCAAAAAAAAAAATTTTATCTGGGCATAGTGGCATCCACCTATAGTCTCATCTACTTGAGAGGCTGAGGCAGGAGGATCGCTTGAGCCCAGGAGATTGAGGCCACTATGACTGCCACTGCACTCCAGCCTGGGTGGTACAGTACAGTAAATATATAACCAGTAACAGAGTCATTTATTATCATTATTAAGTAGTAGGTGTTGTACATAATTGTATGTGTTATGCTTGATGAAAACACATGTATCAAAATTTAGCAAGTCAAACCCACCAATATGTAAAAAGAATAGTGCATCATAACCAAGTGGCAGATAGGCCAGGAATGCAAGATGAATTTACAATTGAAAATCAATGCAATTCATCATAACAGACAAAAAGGAAAGAACATATGATTATATTATATTAATAAATGCAGTAAAAACATTTAAGAAGATTCAACATCCGTTTCTCATATCTGCAAATTGGGAATAGAAAGGAAATGCCTCAATCTGGTAAAGGTCATCTAAGACACCAACAAATTAAACCTACTTGAAATGCTTAAAGATTTCAGAATGTGGTGTAGGGGAAGCCTACATACACTGCTAGTGAAAATGTAAAATGAGGCCAGGTGCAGGGGCTCACGCCTGGATTCCCAACACTTTGGGAGGCCGAGAAAGGCAAATTACCTGAGGTCAGAAGTTCGAGACCAGCCTGGCCAATGTAATGAAGCCCATCTCTACTAAAAATACAAAAATTAGCTGGGCCTGGTGGTGGATGCCTGTAACCCCAGCTATTCAGGACACTGAAGCGGAGAATAGCTTGAACCTGGGAGGTGGAGGTTGCAGTGAGCTGAGATCATGCCACTGCACTCCAGCCTAGGTGACAGAGCAAGACTCCATCTCAAAAAAAAAAAAGGAAAAAAATGTAAAATGATATAGCCGCTTTGAAAAAAAAACGATTTGGCAGTTTCATAAAAAGTTAAATACACACCTTGCATACCTCCCAGCCATTACATTCATAGGTATTTACTTGACAGGAATGAAA